GGTTCAATGGGGTTTTTCTCTGTAATTTGCAGGTTTCAAAGCTTGTGGTTCTAGACAGAGAAACATGGCTCTTTTTATTTTCTTGGGTTTTTATCTGTAAAATCAGCAAGAAAAAGAACGTTTTTTTTTGTCTCGTTTTAAACGTTTTTAAAAAAACGCTCCGTTTTTTCTGAAAAAATCGGCTATTAATCACCGATTTGCTGACTATGATACAAACCGCACCCTTTATAAAAATAAAAGAATAACATCAAGTCTTCATATTAACTTTAAATTTGACCTCAATCAATCTCAATATCCGGACTGGTTTCAACAAGTTTCTCTTATCTCTTGAAGCCTGCTTAGCCTATGTTATTTGCGTCGCTTTTATTATCTTTTCAGGTAACTCTTCTCTATATATAAGACTCCCCTCTTACATCTATTTTTTTTGAAATTGTATCATAGTGTACATCTATTCATGAGCCAATTGTTTTTTTTTTGCTTTATCTTTTAAAAGTGTGATATCCATTAGCCACCTCTCTTATTATTGTTTCTAGTTTGCAACATGCGTTTTGTTATAAGCTTGATACATATAGCCATATAAAAAGAATGGGAGTTGTTTCTATCAAGAAATGAAATATACAAATTCACGTAAATAAAAAGGATATGTTTCTATTAAGAGATGAAATGTACATATTCACATAAATAAAAAGGATATGTTTAAAAAAGTTCTAAGAAGTGGAATATGGGTAGTTTGGTTACCCGTATTTCATGTTTCGAGTAAAAATAAACGATGATATTCCTGTTTGCAATCCTTATATTTTTGGGTTTTTGAAAAACCAAAATTTTGATATTTTATATTTTAAAAAAACAAAAAAATTAATATTTTCGGTTTTTGAATAATTAAGTATTTGATATTTTCGGTATTTCAGAAACTAAAATTTTGAGATTTTCAATTTTTGAAAACCAAAAATTTGAGAATTTTGATTCAAAACTGGAATTTTTTGACATTTTTTAGAAAAAGTTTGATAACGGAAAAAAAAAAAAGGGTATAGAAGTAATAACGTGAACTATGAGATAATTTTGTAATAATGGTTAAAAAATGAATATATGTGTATTTTTTTCTTCTTTTATTTTTGCATTCTCAAGTGTATAATAATTTAATAATTGTCAAAAATCACAATGTAAAAATATAATTAATTCCCTTTTTTATTATTTAAAAAATATTTAAAATCATTTACAATTGTATTAGTAAATATATTATTTACTTGTAAATAAATATTATTATAAAAATTAAAGAAAATGAAATTACCAAAAAAAAAAAAAAGCCATGCATTTGCATTACATAATTGTATTTTTATATATTTAATGTATAATTATCTCTTTTAAATATTAACTTTATGATTATCTTTACCAATATAATAATATACTCAATTAATGAATAAATACATGTTATTTTGGCAATATCGATTTAGGCCAGATTTAATGGGACATTAATTGAGAAGCAAAGAGAGATTAATAGATATTTAATAAGATGCAATTGAGCGATATTTATGTAGAGATTAAATAATCAATATGGTATAAAATTATAAATAAAACTTAAATGGGCAAATTTGAAATTAAAAAAGACACTTGTCAAAATATATAATAGAGAGATTAATATATATCTCTCACCGTGTGTGTTTACTTGATTCCTCGCAAGTCTTTTAAAATCGAGCGATCGAGATTGAGGAATATGGATCGGGAGAAATCGGGATTGGAGTTTGGCTGTGATTGAACTAGTTCCAAAAATGTGGTATCAACCCGGTTCCCCTATCTAGGGATGGCAATGGGTCAAATGGCCTGTCTTGGTCGGCCTGGCCCTAAAAAATTAGGGCATGGGCCACAAAATGTGTCCTAAGGGCTGGGCTTGGGCTTGGGCTAGCCAAGATAGGCCCAATCCCATTTGGCCTGTCCCAATCTTTGTTTTTTTCATCTTTTCTATATTGTTTTCCTTTAATTTTACCCGGCACAATATAGCCCCATCAAAATAGGGTCAGGTAGGGCCAAGGCAGCCCTGGCCCATTGCTAGCCCTAACCCCAACTCAACCCAACCCCAAAACCCCTCTTTCGTACATTTTCTTTTTTTTTTAAAAAAAAATCATTAAATTGGATGAAACTCCTTGTAAAATAATTAACGGGATTAAATTATCTTTGTTAACATTCGAGGACAATTTTTTCTTTTTCATTTCAAATCGATGACTTCAAGAAATTTTATAAATACCCAAATTGACCAAGTTCAATATTTGGAATGTGTAACATCATAGGAATTTCTGTGATGTAACCAAGAAGCTTCAACCATATCATGAAAATACCCCTATCATGAAAATACCCCTAGTTGTTTTGTAGCATAAATAAAGAACACATTATTCAGTATTACTAATAGGGAACAATTAGTTATATTTTTCTCATTCAACACTTAGGGCACGTTTAGTTCTCCAAAAAAATATTTGCCATGAAATATTTTATTGTGAAAAAATTCCCTCAAATAGTATGCGTGGGAACATTTTCACATTAATTAACTGTCCATTGGTGTGTGGAAAGATGTACTCAAACCAATTGGTATAAAATATTGTCCATTGGTGTGTGGAAAGATTTACTCAAACGAATTGGTATAAAATATTCCTACGCCTATCCACATGAGCAAATTCTTTCATATAAAAATATTTTTTGGGAAATATTGACGTGCCCTTAAGTACTTTACATGGATCTTTTTCTTTGGGGTGAAACTTTGTATGCATCAAATTACAAAAAATACCTTTAGTTCTTCTACATTATTAATATTAAACAATGTGTCCCTTATTCCATGTAATGTGGAATAATTAGGAGCTTTACAAAACTACTCCTAGTTCCACTACATTATTAATATTAAACAATGTGTCCCTTATTTGTAATATTAAACAATGTGTCCCTTATTTGTAATACACTTTTGTTATGTGGATGAGGCATCTTGGCAAGTCAAATTACTAAACTATCCATTATTATTTTTCGTCCCGGTTACTGGATGAGGGCAATTTGGGTATTTTTTAAAAAAATTGAGAAGGTATCTAAGTGAAGTGTAAAAGAAAAAGTGTGCCTCAAATATTAATGGATGCAGTTAGCAATTGGGCCAGGCCCGCATATGTAGAAATGTGACTCCTCTTAAAAACCTATTTTTCAGATGGATTTTTTTATTTAATTTTTAAAGATACGTAATCTCTAAAATGGAGCTCATGAATATGAATAAATAAATAAATTATAAATAATAATTCTATTAAGAAAAATTTGGACCGATAGTTTCCATTGAATTTAGATAGATCACCTACTTTTCTGGACCGCATATGTAGAAATAAGGT